GAGAAGTGCGTCCCTTGGCTCCTGTGGCCCGGTCTGGACCGATGCCGGAAACATTCCAGCGTTCCCGTGGCCGCCTCCTGCGTTCTCTTTACTAGGTGTTTCCACACAACTTTTTTTTTGTGCACATTTCATTCCGCTCATGCCGATCTGCGCTGTGCTTGTGCTGGTGCTGTTCCTACATCAGCACATATGAAACGCTGGGGCACACCAGGAGAGGAGTTCCTGGAAGCTTGCACTGCCTGCAGCGGCTCCCCCGGAATGGATCTCGCTATGGAAAACGTAGGGTTCATTAATCCCGGTGGAATTCCTATCCTTGGTGTGCAAGGTGCTGGTGTGGGCTGGAATGCCCCCAAACAAAGGGCCAATACGAGACTTTCCAGGAAATGAAGTAAAAGCAGGAGGTGCAGGAGCCCCGAGCGGGGCTGGTGGCGCCTGGCTGTGAGCGCCGAGCTGCTCCTGGCCGCTCCGTGCGCGTGGGACCCTGCGCGCTGCGCTCCTGCCGCGCTCGGCTCCGGCACCGCTGCCTCCGCCTGCTCTCCCAGGGCTCCGCTGTGAAATGGAGGGCAGCAGGATAAGGGAGCGTGTTCAGCGCTGTGCGAGGCCGGTCTGGGAAGAGAGAGCGGGGGAGACGCCCTGAGCAGCACCCGGGCGTTCTCGGAGTCCAGCCTTTGAGGAGGGAGGGCCTCAGCGTGCCCAGAACGCACCCCTTGTAACTTACCCCTGGAAAAATAACCTCCTGCCCTTAGTTTGCCCGCTCGCTTTGCTGCTCTGGCGAAGCTGGAAGAGAAGGCCCCAGGTTGCAGCACAGCAGAGCTTGAGGCACTTCAGTTTTCCAAACGCCAGTTTGAGCCTGGGGAAATGTCTGCGCTGGAATGCAGGGGTGGAAGCCTGGATCTGCCACGACACCGACCTGGGGACGCAGTGCAGCCACGCAGGGGAATGTGCCGGGTGGTAAAACTGCGTACAGGAGAACACAGTGCTTTACATCTGCCCTGTGGACCAGATCCTGCAATTCTGCAAGCACTCGAAAGAAATTTCTTGCCTTGGAAAAGCAGGCAGCGAGGGTTTTGGCTCTCGGTCTGGTGACAGCTTTTTACACCGACAGGAGTGCCCAGCGGGGAAGTCAATAGCAAATAAAACGTGATCGCGCTTGCTTTGGGCGCGCGGTGCTGCGCTTGTTTGGGGCGCTCTGCTCGGTGCTGTGTTTGCTCGAGGCGCTCGGTGTTGTGCTTGTTTGGGGCGCTCGGCGCTGCGTTTG